ATAAAATTGGGTAAAGCCCAAAGGAGGTGAGCATATTTCAAAGGCAGGATTGCCAACACCTATGCACGGTTATGAAGCTTCTGTGATTCAAAGTCTGCTTGGATGCCAGAAGGAACACCCTTGTATAACCCACTGAAGTTTCCATCATGCCAACAAACAAAAGGCTCTTGGGGGAAAGATGGGGAAAGGAAGTATGGGCTTGAGAACTAATATTGAGTTGTTTGGGAAAGGAATTATCATTCAATAGCAATCATGCATGATCCAAAACCTTTCAAAAGTAACAGTAAGTATCTCTATAGTAGTCATCTGCAAAAGTGTGTATTTTAAAATCTAAAGTTATGTATTGATTAGGATTTTGATAACATGACTTATTAGTTTCTTTGCAGTAGCTTACTTAAACAGTTGTGTTGTAACTTCTCGAATACATTGTCTTGAGTGTGTAGTCCTCAAGGAGAGAGTGAAATGAAGTATTGCTCCCCATCCAGACAGATCCCTGCCAGTGCTGCATTCTTGGGTTGTGTTTGTCCTTTCTCACACACCTGTGAGTGCACCTAAAGTTCTCACTTGTGATACATACTGCACTGAGTGAAAGGAAAATCGGTCTTTTTTGATTGTGAGAAAGTGTATGGAGACCATGGGCCCAAAATGGTCCTTTCTTCCTGGACCACAGATGGTATGAATCAGCCTATCTGCTCTGAAACAAGACAGTCATTCTTGTGCTAACAGATTATTTAGATATTACATTGGGATAGATCAGAAACTAAATGTTGGTGTTCATACAGGTGACTGAGTCTCAGGAAGACCTATACCAAGAAATACTGATAAACAGTAGGCATTATTAAATTATATTAAAAATATCTTGATGTTAAAAATATCTTGAATTTGCCTCTTTCTTTCAGTTTCTCCAGTTCTTTCCCTCTGCCTTTGCTCACATCCCTTGATTCTTGTTCTTTTTTCCCAAGACAATAAAGTTTCTTTCCAAGATGCTCAGTGAATTCATCCCAAGGCGTTAGAGTTCCACCAACTTTTAACTAGGCCTCTGTGTCTAGCTGAGTCCCTCCCAGGGGTGGCAACTGGAGACAACTGGGGAGAGCAATCACTAACTAGGAAAGTTTTTAGTCTCCAGAGTGAGTCTAATCCCAGAAGTCCTAGTTAGCTCCAGTCTATTGCTCTTAGTTTTTTACTGAAGGCAAATATTCCATTGTCTGAAGGCAGGATCCTATCAATACAAATGTAGATAAGAATGGGAACACAGGTCTGCCTGATGGGACACCCTTGCAAAATCAGAGTTGGAGAAAGTTCGGGTTTTCCAGAACTGTCTGAACCTTCCTGAGGCTGTCAGGACACTGCACTGGGTTCACTGGGCCATCACGCACTTGCAAAGAGCAGGTTCACTTTCTTAACCCTAACCAGGAAAAGCTTAACATTATTTAATATCTCCCAGGAGCAAGGACCAAAAGCAGCACTCTTCTCTGCTCGAGACAGAGATCACAGGTAGTATTCCTGGATCATATACATTATGCACTCCTACTGAATGAGGCTCAGGAGTTCAAAATCACACGCTCCAGTGTAAACCAAACAATATCCCCACCAGAATGACCTGGGCAGGATGTCCTCTTGTATCTCGTAGTGTAAAAGAGCAATAAGTGCCCTGGAAGCCCTCAGACTAAACCTCCTCTTCTCCACCATTACCAGTACACAAGAGGGTATATTAAAAATTGTTCCTTTTCTACCAATGTGTTGATTCCCTTTTTGACACCAGAACCTACAAGTAAATGTTACGTGCCTCAGAGCGAGAGGAGAATGGTGCCACGCCATTCTGAGCTATGGACTCCATCCCAAAGCACTGAACTGCCAAACTGTACCCAACCTATGGCATAGCAGAACCTGGCCTTTTTCCAGTCTAGGCCTCATTAAAGATGCCGAAAGAGAAGGCAATTAGTGGCCTTACATGACATTTACTGGTAAACCCTAACTGTGTTCCAAGCAAAGAAGAGTCCAGAGTCTTGGACTTAGTCATGCTGGTCTGACTCACACCTCTATCCCCAGTAACTCAGCTCATTATTCCAGCCCTAAAACTTTTGCTCAAGTGTCCTATTCATTGCACTGCTTGTCACAGCACATTTTGTACACATTATTGTTATGTCCTGGATTATCCATTCTATCCATTATCAATTCTATCCATTGTCTTAAGCATGTTATCCACCCTCCTGTCTGATATTATCTCACTGCTGTCTCCAGCTCCTTGTGACAACACAGTCCCTCAGTCAGTCTGTTACATCAAATACAGTTCTTAGCTTTCTGACATGTGTTACCCAGCTTTGGTGTCCCTTGCTCCAGCTGTTGTCTGAATTAATGTAGGAAATCACAGCCTTTCCTTAGCTTGCTCCAAACCAGTTTCAGCCCGCACATTCCATGTTAAAACACTCCATAAAACATCGATACCTAATTCATTGCCCAAACAAGCACTTTTGTGCCACCCAGTACTCTGGTATGTCATTACTTGCCAAGATAATGTTGGTCCTGATCATGAACTATGAACTATGATCGCGAACTATGTGACCAGGTAGCCAGCTGTCTGAACTGGTCTTTCCCTCTTCACCAGACCCCTGGTAAGCTACATTCATGCCCTGTCCCTCAGTGACATTCTGCCCCCAGTAGTTTGCAGATGCCTGACAGCAGTGCAGCATCTTCTTTGCTCGACTACATCCACAGTGATTCTTAAGTTCTCTTTGCTGGGTATCCGGTGAGGCAGGGCTGGGGGAAGATGACTTCAGGCTGCTGCTCTCTGATATTCCTGCTGGTTCACAGGCAAGAAGCAGCTTGCAGTGAATGGTGTTGGGCAGTAGATGGAAGCAGTAGCCTGAGTATGTGCTGCACACACCATCTCCAGAGACAAAAGCACCAAATGCTAAAGATGCTACTGCAGAAGGAAGAGCTGAGAAAGGGGGACTGGAGGCGACAAGGGCAGTACATCAGGCTTGAATTACTGAGCCACAAGCACTGCTGGAGTTATTTCTGAAGGTGGCTTGGTGGATGTCTGGGAAATTCACTGGCAGTGGAGAATAGTGTGGCTACAACATTGACTTTTGACTCCTTCCTTAGCTTTGATTCAGTTTTGCATCACAGCTAACCTGATTCACCCTCATATTTTACCTACTACCCCAATCTTTGTGAATGCTGCCTATTCTGGTACATTCATTTTGACTTTGACTCATTGTCTGGCCTGATCCATATATATTTTCTCAGAAGCGTGAATACCCCACACCTTGGTCATATCAAACATGACCCACAATGTAGTATCTCTATTTCAAATCCATACCTTCCACCTTAAGCTACTGATTTATGCTATAAACTAGTCTTGAGGTCAAAACACACTGCTCCATTCTGATTCCTACTTGTCACTGACTCCCTTGTCTGCTCCACCTCATCACCCTAACAGCCTGTGTGGTGCCTACGTGAAGTAACAGCAGCAGGTAATAAATAGTCAGTGGGCCATACAAGGCTTGGTAGTCTCGCTGTGACATCCGTGGTGTGAGCCCCTGGTAGGCAGCACACCTCTCAAGGGGGCACATCAGGCTGGCAAATGGGGGCCTCTGGACCGCTCAGAAGAGAGTTTCCATGAATGGAACCACAAGCACTGCTGAAGTGATGTGAAGGTAAGGGGAGGGTTTTTTGATGGGCAATCACCTTCTTCCAAGGAGGAATGAATCCACTGGCATTTCAGCATCAACAGCAGGCACGTGAACTACACTGAGCAACACATCAAGGCTTCGGAGCTGCTTGCTGACATCCACTTACAGAAGGAAGAGAGAAACAGACGTGGCTATGGACTGATCCATCTGACCTATTTTAGACCTTTTTCTCTCAAAGAAAACAGTAATACCTGGAAATGCCAGTATATTTATATTCCCAAGAAAGGAGACAAGCTGAGTATATTTTATATTAGACTAAACTGACAGCTATCGATACTTCAGCAGATGAATTCCAGCTTCCCAGAATAGTCCTCTGATGGTAAGATAGCTCAGATATTTACTCTAGTTCAAGTCACAGGAAAACACAAGCATTGTGTTTGACTTAGGAGAATCACTGCAACTTGCTTTGATTGCTTCTTTAGAGATTGGACAGATGTGTAAGATGAACTATTTGAAACACCCAGATCTCGCTGGGTTTATAGGTAGAACTTATGCTGGCCAGGGCAGGAAGCACTGAATACATGTACTAAATGGACACAATGGTTAACAATGTATTTTGCACTAACAAAAAAAGGCAAAATATTGCTCCAGTTTGACCTCTGTAATTTCCCATTATAAAGTTAACAGTAATATGGTTACAGAGTTATATGTGCTTTCACATTATAAATCTTCAGTCATGGTTTATATTACTGCTTCTGGAGCCATAAAAGGCTTTAAATGAACAATATCTGGACATATTTTTTTCCATGTCAATGAATTGCTTTATGAAGGTGATGTCCTTCCACCACTGAAAACCTAGTTTATAGTATGCTTTTCTCAGCTAATTCTGGGAAGGAAGGAAGAGGTGGTTTGTTTCTTGCCTTTTAACAGGAAATTAAATATTGCACTAGAGGAACTTTAAAACAAGATGAAAAAGCATTTATTAGGTTAGATTAGATTGGTGGAAAGGGTTAAAGGGGAGAAATGTGCATTTTCCAGTTTGAGAGGGGTTTTCTTCTTTTGACCTGTAGAAGTTGAGAATTATCTATGAAAATCAGCTCATCCAATTGTTTAAAAAGGTGAATAGATGGAGAAATGGAAAAACAGGGGATGAGAGGGGAAGAGACACAGAGAAAGACATCCCTCCAAAAATGTAATTCACCTCTCCTGAGAGCTTAATTGAGGATAACATCTATTGCTCTCTGGAAATACTTGTCTTATTCAGTGAATGTCTTGAGATTTTCTATGCTGGGAAAACGTAATGGGGACAAAGCTGTACTCCACAGGCAGCACAGGAATGACTTGGTTGTGCAGAACTAAGCCGAACTTCTGAAGTTATACAGATACATCCTGGATATTCAGGATCCCCTGCAAGATAAATACAACTGGGCAACCCGCTCTTACATGGGCATCCAGTACCTATAGGTTTCAGTTATAGTCTAGGCTACTAATTATGAATCAGATATCAAAATATTATATCAAAGTTGTTCTTGTATCTTCCATATAGTATGATCTGAATGGAATAACGTTCTTCCTTTTATCCCTCTCATGTTTTTCCTTTATTATCATCATTCTTCCTTCCTTCTTTTCCACTTGCCATTATTCCTTTGTTCACTGCAGCTCTTCTCATTATTTCTTTCATTTAAAAAATATTCCATATATTCTCTCTTTTATTTTCTTTACCTTTTCTCCGAAGCTTGATGCTGTGCCCTTTGCCATGAAGCAGAAAAACAGCACAGAATTCCAGGAATTCATCCTCCTGGGATTTCCAGCTATGAGAGAACTTCAGATGCTGCTCTTCGTGGTGTTCCTGGTGGCCTACATGCTGACCATCTTGGAAAATTTGCTCATCATAATCTTGATAAAGACGAACCACCAGCTTCACAAGCCCATGTATTTCTTCCTTTGCAACCTCTCCTTCCTGGAGGTTTGGTTCACCTCAGTCACTGTCCCCAAACTGCTAGCGAATTTCCTTGTTGAAAGCAAGAATATATCTTTTAGAGGCTGCATGACCCAGCTTTACTTCTTCAGCTCCTTTATTTGCACTGAGTGTGTCCTCCTTGCTGTCATGGCTTATGATCGTTATGTGGCCATCTGTAATCCTCTGATGTATCCAGTCATCATGAACCACCGGCTCTGCATCCAGCTAGCCGCATGCTCCTGGCTCACTGGTTTCTTGGCCTCCATGCTGAAAGTAGTTTTCATCTCTCAGCTGTCTTTCTGTGGCTCCAACGTCATCAACCACTTCTTCTGTGACATCAGCCCCTTGCTGAACATGTCGTGTGCTGATATGACAATAGCTGAAATAGTAGATTTCATCCTGGCCTTGCTTATCTTGCTGATTCCCCTCTCCATCATGATTATCTCCTACATATGCATCATCAGCACCATCCTGAATATCCCCACTACTCAGGGCAGGGAGAAAGCCTTCTTCACCTGTGTTTCTCACCTCACTGTAGTCATTATCTTCTTTTCAGCCACTCTGTTCATGTATGCCCGCCCCAAGAGAATCTACCCTTTTGACTTAAACAAGCTGGTGTCAGTTGCATACACTATTGTGACTCCCATGCTCAATCCCTTCATTTACTGTCTGAGGAACCAGGAGGTTAAGGAGGCTTTGAAGAAGATCTTCAGACTGTCCTCCATTAAGATAGTTCCTTAGAGTGTAAGCGTGTTAGAAGAAAAGGTTTTCAGATTTAGGTTGTATTCAGAACTGTATTGTGCTGTGTGCAATAGCTGACAGCTAAGGCGAGATGCATGTGCCTAACAGGCCTCATGTTTTAAGAGCCTTGGCTATTCTGCTCAATTTATGAATGAGATGCTAAAAGGAAGACTCTCTTCTGCAGTTCCTGTATCGTATCTGCCTATTCAGAAGGAGAGGTCTTAGGCACTCCATAGGATTTCATATTCTGCAGGAAGCCTGTACTCTAGGACTGAATCAATCCTCATGGAAGAGAGCAGAAGAAAGTGTTCACAGTGGGATGGGAGAAGCCCAGCTTTTTAAGGAAGGTTGAAATAGACACTAAATAAATTGATGACTTCATATACTGGGCACTGTAAATGAAATCACTTTTTTCTCCCCATTTTTAGCATATATTGTTTAAATTCTGTTCTGATAAATTCTGCTGAAGTCACTGTGTATTAGCTGGAATATGAATGAACAACCAACCTCTACTATGTATATGTACCATACTATGTATATGTACTGTAAATTATACATGAATTTACACTTCTTTTCCTTTCTTTTTTTCAATAAATAATAATATAGTCAAATATTAACAATGTAGATTTTTTCTCAGTTTCGAATATCATACAATATATTGAATATATGTATGTAGAAAGCATTAAACCCCTAATATTCTGATCACATCTGCTGAGATAAGATAAAAAAACCCCAACAGCAATAACAACAAATGAGGCATCAGAATATCCTTAGATGGAGGAACAGCTCCTCACAGACAGAGTTGTCAAGTCATTCGTCTGGAGTGCTTGTGTGAAAAAAACACTTGCTTCCGAACTGATACAGAAGTATTTAAGGATGCCTCTATATTATTAATAACTTTACCACCTCTTCATTACAAAGTGGTGATTCCCAGTTGTGATCCCAAGTCACTGCATGTATGTTCATTCAGGGTTGAGGTGTTTGGGGGTTTTTAAGCTAAATGACATATACTATTGCCAGGCGAGGGAGAGAAGAAATAATTTGCTTCTTTGATTGGTCCCATTGGAAGAATTAACCAAATGCTCAGGTGAAGTCTTCAGGAAAATGAAGGAATAATAAACAGACGTCACGGCACTCTGTGCTTCAAGCGATCCGTTCAACATCGGTACAAGGACTCAGACTGTAAGTGACATTGAAGTATTTACTAACATAGTATTTCTTATGATAAATATTAATAACTCCTTCTTTAAGTCTGCTGAGTAGTATATTGGCTAACAAAGCTGGTGAGGAACTGTGGCAGGAAGGGACGCTTCCCTGTCAGCGTGTTTCCATGAAATCCTTTCATTGAGAAGCCACACAGCAAATCTCGTTTCTCATAGAGCATCTATGAATTTTCATGCTAAGAAAGTGAAGCAGTGTCTTTCAACTGAAGATACTTCTTATCAGTCTTCCTTTCCCTTTCTGTTCCCTTCCCTTTTTACTCTTACCTTAATTCTTCCCTTCCCTACCTTCAACCTTTCTCTTCCCTTTCAAACTCTTCAGCAATATGAGACAACATGAGGAGTTTTCAAATGGGATTTTGGATGAAGTCTGCAATTTCTGGACACATGGTCTATGGAACAGAAAAGCTCTATCTAAGTTTATTGTTTTAATGATGTTAAAGTTACAGCTTGAATTCTGACCTTTAATAAAGTTTTAACTTTACAAAAGAAAAAGCCATTGATGGGGATGATGTAAATACTGCTGCTGGTATTGAGACTATTTTATTACTTTAAGAGGGATCTTTGGTGACTGATTTCCTGGCAAGTCTGTTCACAAATGCAGAAATCAGCTCATTGTACAAGTTAAAAATCACTATCTAGAACAGATATTGCCCTGGAGAAGATCAAGGAGAAGGTGAGCATTATGTCACCGAGAGAATTCAGCGTTGCTGTCACTTTGTTCTAAATACCTTTGTCTTGGAATACTTTAATGATTATTCAATGAGTATTTACAGCACTAGAAATGCTAATTTAATCTGACTGCAGTGTGAAAGTAATGTAAAACAGCTGGGGGGGAGAGAGAAAGAAGGAGATGGTTAATGTATTATAATCACAAATAGTAAGTCACTAATGTCATTGTCTTTACAGAGGTACATGAGAGACACGGCAGTGAGCAATCACAGCATGGTCAAAGAATTCATTCTCCTGGGATTTCCGATTTCTCCTCATCTGCAGATTCTCTTCTTTCCAGTATTCCTCATTGCATATCTCTTGGTTTTAGCAGAAAATACGATCATCATCCTGACTGTCTGGACAAACTATAACCTTCACACCCCCATGTATTTCTTTCTGAGTAATTTCTCCTTTCTGGAGATATGGTATGTGACAGTCACACTCCCCAAGACAATACTGAGCTTTGTATCAGTGACAAAGGGGATCTCCTTCATGGGATGCATGACACAGCTGTACTTCTTCCTCAGCCTGGGCAACACTGAGTGTCTCCTCCTGGCTGTCATGGCATACGATCGCTACGTTGCCATTTGCAAGCCTTTCCATTACTCTACTATCATGAGACACACTGTCTGTGTCTACCTTACTACCGGATCTTGGTTAACTGGTTTTTTAATTTCTGGATGCAAAGTATTTTTTATCTCTCGGCTGCCATACTGTGGACCCAACATAATCAACCATTTCTTCTGTGATGTTTCTCCTCTCTTGAACTTAGCCTGCACTGACTTGGAAAGAGCTGCTCTCATGGATTTTGTGGCTGCATTATTTATTCTCCTGATGTCTCTCTCTGTAGTGATCCTGTCTTACACCTATATTATCTTCACTGTCCTTCACATTTCATCTGTACGAGATCGCCAAAAAGCCTTCTCCACCTGTGCGTCTCACCTTATAGTGGTCACTGTCTTCTATGCAACAAGCATTTTCACCTATGTAAGGCCCAAAACACTTCCAGTTAATGACACAAACAAAATCATGTCTGCTTTCTATGCTGTTATTGTTCCTCTCTTTAATCCCATCATTTACTGCTTGAGGAACAAGGAAATGAAGGATTCTTTCCAAAGGATCTTGCTAAGAAAAAGACTTTCCTTGCAAAACCATTAGCAGGCTTAATGACGAAAAGATGGTGGAGTTCAGGAAACCAAAAAGAAATAATTGGATCTTATGATTAAATCACTTAATGAAAAACTCTGGTTTGTGCTTCAGAAGCCGTGTCCCAGTTTCCAGCACTGCTGCCTTTTAATTTCCTGGCTCATGTGCTTTGCCATAGGAAGGCTTCTGTCAGTGCCGGGATGAGGAGCCCAAGGGTTTCCAGGCAGAACCACGTGAGCGCAGCAGAAGCCTCCCATCAAGGGCTGGTGCATCCCGTGCAGGCAGGGGATGTGCTCCTGGCTCATTCCTGTGGGCTTGCTTGTGGCCAAGGTGTCAGGAAATGGGCACCGCTCTGCTGCTTCTCTTCCGCATGCCCAAGGGCTGCCACAGCAGAGGACATGGCACAGCCTTTCCTCTTGCTCCCCTCAGCTCTCTCTGAGGGAAGGCCATTGTTGTGTGCAGATGGGCTTCTGCTGGGAGGGCTGGAGGCTACTGCAGCACCAACAGTGCTCTCAGGACACCTGTGCTGGGCTCATGTGCCTCATCCCCGCTCTGTGCAGCCTCTGTTCATCCTCAGGGAACACCAGGAGCATGTCTGGAGCCTGCTCCTTCCTCACAGTACCTGAGCCCTGTTGTGCCAGTGCGGTCCCAGCATCTCTTCAGCAGAGGAGATGTGCAGAAACTGTTGTGCACTGACCACAAGCCCCCAGTCCACATCCCACTGTGCTGCTTAATGGTGGAGCAGTGAATGAAGGAGGGCAGTGGAGTCTGTGAAAAAGAGGTGGGATGGGGTGAAGTTGTTTTAGTTTTGTCTCACACAGAAAGAAACACAAACTAAAACCAACCCCAAACCCAAACCAACCCCATTGTGTCCCTGCTTGATCAAACCTGTGACAATTTCAGAGACTGCAGAGACGAGAACCTGTTATTTGCAAATCAATTAATTTGAACTGCATCTGTGCAGGGCTCTGGCTTCAGCTCTTTTGCTTATGTCTAAGGCTCTAGAACCATTTGAGACAACAGAATCATAAACCTACAAGTATAGAGATTCAGCCTTTCCCTGGATCTGATCTCATTAAAGGCTGCATTTCCCTCTGCATAAAAAGGCTTCTCCAGATGCACCCAGCTATGTTTGTGGGGTTTGCCACATGGTAGACTTTCTGTCACAACTGGGAAGTTCTCCTTGTTCTCCTTCTAACTCCCCTAATGGTTCTTACAGGCTGATACAAGATCACCTCTTAATCTTCTTCCCACCAGACAAAACAAGAGCAGCACTACTCTTAGTATCCATACTCTAAACCACTGTTGGCCTCTGCTGGACTCTCTCCCTTCTCTCTCAGCCCAGCCCAAGTTATGGTGAATGACTGCCACATCCTCAGCTCCAGGGCTTTGGGATTGTGACTTTGTGGTGGTTGGTTTTCCCCTCTGCCTCAGATACCAGTTAACATGAGCTGGGTTCAGCGTCTCAGACAAAACCTTAGACATATGCAGAGTTTCTCTGTATGGAATCATAGAGGAAACAATAACATCCCCCCTCTTTCTGTGATTGCTTCCACTGGGATTTGCTAGATCAAACCTATTGAGACACTGAATATAAATAACGTGGCAGATTTATCTGTGTTGGTGTAAACCATGCAACTGCCACAACAGTCTATGCTTCATCTGTTCCCTGTTGATCATACTCTCCAGGATCATCTAAGGCAGTGGATTCCACTCTGAATTGCCACTACAGAAGGTTGAGACCAGTTTTGTTTTTATAAGAGCAGGCTAAGGTGTTCTTAACTTGGAAGGAATAATCTGAGTTAGCTATGAACAAACCAGACCCAGAGCTATAAGGAGTTTATGCTTATGCTGTATGTGGAATGCTGTGTGTATGTTTGTCTCTCCGTAAGCTTTATGTAGTTATAAGGCTCTTCAGAGCTAGCCATAGATACCTCTAATGGGGTTCTTCAGATGTGTTTGCCTTCTTTTCATATGAAATTGTATGTATCCTTGCGGAACTTCCCAGTTCATAGGATATACATGGTATAACTTTAGAAATGTATAGGTGTAGAAACAAAAACATTGTCAATGTAAATGTATATCTGAAAGCTCATAACCTAACTTCTCTTCATCCTGGATGGACAATATGATAGAACGACTCATGTGACTTCTTTTAGCCTTGTGTCTTAGCTGAGACAGGACTGGGAGTTCCTATTGGTTTCCATGAAGTATGAAGTAAAAAGCATGCTGACAGCTTTACTATGAACAATGCTGAATTGAGTACATGAATTGCACACAATTCATTTCCAGAAACTCAGCAAGAAAGTGTCTGAATCTTTACAGTGCCTTAAATGTGGTGTAATATATTGATACGAGTGTAAGCCTGTCTGGTTAGCTTTCATTGATGTAATTTATTGCAGGTCGATAAGGCTCATCTTTCCCCTACAGAATGGGTGGGAGGAATGAAACCAGTGTCAGGTATTTCATTCTCCTGGGTTTTCCCACCACTCTTGAACTGCAGCTACTCCTCTTCTCTGCTTTACTTCTGGCTTATTTATTAACTGTGTTGGAAAACTGCCTTATCATTCTCCTCATCCGAACCAACCCCAGTCTGCAAAAACCCATGTATTTCTTCCTAGGAAACCTGTCTTTCTTAGAGATCTGGTATGTTTCTGTCATTGAACCAAAGATGCTCATAGATTTTCTCTCCCAAGAAAAACATATCTCCTTCCAGGGCTGCATGACACAGTTGTATTTCTTTGTGACTTTCGTTTGTACTGAGTATATTCTGTTAGCTGTTATGGCCTATGACCGCTTCTTGGCTATATGCAAACCTCTCCAATATTCACTCATCATGACTCACCAGTTCTGCACTCAGCTGGCAGCTGGCTGCTGGATGTGTGGTTTCATCACTTCTTCCATCAAGCTGAGCTTTATTGCCCAGCTCTCGTTCTATGATGTAGACACAATCAATCACTATTTCTGTGACATTTCACCCCTACTGAATATCTCCTACAGTGACTCCTCTTTGCCTGAGCTGGTAGACTTCGTCTTGGCTCTGCTGGTCATCATGGTGCCTCTGTGTACTGTGGTCACCTCCTACATTTGCATCATGTTCACCGTGTTGAAGATCCCTTCTTCTCATGGGAGGCAAAAGGCCTTTTCCACCTGCAGTTCCCACTTGACTGTAGTGATATTGTTCTACTCCACCACTCTTTTCACATACGCCCACCCTAAGGTCATGTACACCTACAGTGCTAACAAGTTCGTATCAATCCTGTACACAGTAGTTGTGCCACTTCTGAATCCCCTCATATACTGTCTTAGAAATAAAGAAGTCAGGTGTGTCCTGAGGAAGACCTTCACTTGCACAAGACACATCTAAGAAATCAACCAAAGACTTCGGGAGAAGGCGCTTTGCTCACAGAGATCAACTGGCAGTGCTGATGAACTAAAGTCAGGAGGCCCATGATGAAGTGAACCTCTCCTATTCATGCAACCAGAGACCATATTTATTGAACTAGACCTTGACAAATATGAGTTTGCCCTATGTATATACTACAGTTTGTTGTTTTGCTTCTTTGTTTTTCCCCTAGGATTCTATGGTGCCTACCTTTCTTAAAAGCCTTCAGCAGAATGACTGTTCCAGTTTTAAAGAGAAGGTTTGGCAATGACAGAAATGGAACCCCAGATTTTGTTTGCCCTAGATATATTGCTAGGTCCAGAAAACTTTGGGTGGGATTGTAAAAGGCATGCAAAATGCAGATACCCACATCTGATTCATTTACTTTGAGATTCTGGTATCCCCTGGAAAAAAGTAGGCAGTGGAAAAGGATGTGTAAACTTTCTTAGATACCTGATTTAGGATAAAATGAAACATCCTCAGAAGGAGACAACTCTTCTAATATAGCAATAGAGGGAATATAGCATGAGTAGCTCGTGCTGTGGCACAGATACAGTGTCCCTTGGACTCAGTCCCTGGTTTGCACCAGAGCCCTGGTACCCAGGGTACACCAAAGAATTCACTCCAAGAAGAAATGCAGACACAGCTGACAGCACAGATCACTGTTTCCTTCAATCTGCATGAGCCCTGGATCCAGCAGTATGTCAGCAGGAGTCACGCCGCTAAAGTCTGACCCACAGACTGCAGTCCGAGTCTTCCCATTGAGTGTGAAGGAGTCCTGATGCATATGTGTTTAAATACTGATCATCTGGGAGAAAATCTGATAAAAGGTGCCTCGACTCCATGCTCTGGATATCACAGTGATTCAAAATGTTTCCTATTCTGTAATAAACATTAAATATCTGTCAGCTGAATGCATGTGACCGTGTTAAACCTGGGTTTGAGTTTGTAACTGAGCCCTTCATTTCTAACATGGACTAGCACATCAGCACACTCTGCTCTGTACTAGCAGACTGCCTCCTCAGACTCTGCAGGTAGTGAAACATCTGGCTTTCCAGACAGGAAACCTTCAGACACCTGTGGAAGAGCTTGTTCTGTGCATCCTGTTGTCATGGATACAGCTCATCCAAACAAGACTTTTTGAGGACTTGATCACAGTTTCAAGGAGAGGTGTCAAGGACAGCTTGAAGTGGCCCACACTAGGAAGCTATCACCAGAATGTGAAGTGCTGTCTGTGTTCCAGGTATTAGTAGAAAATGTGCTACGACAATGGGTAATTTATGCAATATGAATCTACAATACACTGTGAACAGTTCCATGGAAAAGAAGGCAAAGAAAAATAAACCCAGTAGTTCTTTAGTTTTGCATTTGAGAACAGCAACCACAGAAGGAGTTAGATATATCAGCATGGATTCCCCCCGAAACATATTTTTTCTATACAGCTTGAACATTTGCATCTAACATATAGATGTTATGAATCATTCTCCAACAGCACCTATTTCTCCCATGAATTTTAAAGATAGCATAGATCAGACTGGTAAGTTACTTGTGGTTTAACTGCAGCAGGCAGCTAAGCCCTAAACACCCCCTTGCTCACTCCCCACTCAGTGGCATGGGTGAGAGCATCAGAAGGAGATAAGTGATAAACCTTGTGGGTTGGGATAAAGACAGTTTAATAGGTAAAGCAAAGGCTGTGTGCACAAGCAAAGCAAAATAAGGAATCCATTCATTACTTCCCATCAGCAGGCAGTTGTTCAGCCATTTCCAGGAAAGCAGGGCTTACTTGGGAAGACAACGGTTGTCATTTCAAGTGTCCCCCACTTCCTTCTTCTTTCCTCTAGCTTTTTTTGCTGAGCATCAAGTCATTTGGTATGGGATATCCCTTTGGTCAATCAGGATCCACTGCCCCAGCTGCATCCCCTCCCAGCTTCTTGCCCACCCCCAGCTTACCCACTGATGGGCAGGGTGAGAAGCAGAAAGGGCCTTGACATTGTACAAGCTCTCGTCAGCAGTAGCTAAACCCTTAGCTGAACATTCCTGTGTTATCAACACTGTTTTCAGCACCCCCTGCTCTTCAAAGGACTCGAGATAACGAGCGGACAACACAGGCAGCTTCGTGGCAAGCAAAGGCTTCCCAGCTGCCTGCAGGTGGACAGCGTTTGTGTCTCACCCAGAACAGACATCTAAAGCCCAGCGGCACGATGACATCCTCGACATAACGCGTTCTCCCCCGGCCCTGCGCTCTGGCGCTGGAGGGGTTAACGCTGGAGGGGGCGCTGGCCCTTTAAGAGCCGAAGGGAGGGGGTGAGGCGCATGCGCGGTCAGGGCCCACGCGGTCGGGGTCGCCATGCGGGTGCTGGTGGGTGAGTGCGGGGGGCGCTGTGTCCGTGCGGGAGGGAGCCCGATGCAAGGGGCAGGGGGGGTCTGGGCTGAGGGTACCGAGGGTCCCGAGGGCCCTGAGGGTGCTCCGGGTGCTGCGGGCCGGGGTTGGAGCACCCCGGCGGGAGGACAGGGTGCGTGGTGCCCGGACACGGGGAAGGGGTTAGGGTGAGCCGCGAGCAGGGTGCTCTGAGTGCGGGTCTGTGACGCCCTGTCTGTCTCCGAGGTGGTGGGACCGGCTTCGTGGGCACAGCCCTGACCCGGTTGCTGCGGAGCCGCGGCCATGAAGTGACCCACGTCTCTCGGCAGGCGGGCAAGGACCGGATCAGCTGGGTATGGGAGAGGAGCGGTCACAGGAGGGAGGATGTGCCGGGGCTGAGGAGCAAGGCCGCTTGCCCTGGCCTGCTGCGGCGTATGGGGAATCTGCAGTGGGGAGTCTAGGACCTATGGATGTTCTCTTGGCCTCTGAGTGCTCCGTGGCTTCTAGGCACTGGGGTGGGTTCTGCTGGAGATCCATCCAAGGGGCAAAACCATCTCCGTTCATGCTTGTGCTCCAGGCAGTGTCACAGGGACCTGGCTGGAGTCCTTAGGAGTCTGCACTGCTTGGTTGTTGGGGAGGCTGCTCTGTGATGTCCCTGTTATCCCTGCCCAGGAGCAGCTATCCCAGTCTGGATTGCCCCAGTGCGACGCTGTGGTGAACTTGGCTGGTGAAAATGTCCTCAACCCTTTCCGCAGGTACCTTGGTGTCCCATGGTGCTGTTCCAATGTGAAAGCAAGACAGGCCAGTGCTGACAGAGATATGGAAGGGATCTAGGGAGGAAACTGGCCAGGAAGCACTTGGGTTACCTTAACAATTGACATCTGGGTTCTCAAGTATCCAAAACCTTTCTGTGGGCCTGTTGAGTCCTGGGAGACCTTTGGAAGACACGTTGGAGGCTTGGCAGAGTAGTTCTGTGTATCCAGAATTACACCGGATGCATACATTTAGACAATGTAAAGTTAGAACCAAAGATTTATGAGGGTGGGTTTGGAAATGCCTTCACCAGGCACTTGGAAAGAATTCACATCACCTAACTTTAGTGTCCAGCTTCTCTGCTACCTTTATCCTAAGGCAGTGCAAAACCTATGGCCTTCTGTGGGAAGTGAGGGGCCACCATCCCCCAAAGTCCCCATGTACTTAGGTAATAAGACCCCGTATCCTCCCCCTGCTTTGGAGCGTGGGGGAGTTCTTATGACCTCTCCTGTGCTTGTCAGTGGTGGTCTGGTGGGAGCCCCTTGGTGCTGTTTCCTGGGATGCTCTCATGGGGATTGTAATCAGTGGCTCTCCCTTTCCCAGATGGGGCGATGCCTTCTGCAGGGAGATCATCAGAAGCCGCGTTGAGACCACCAAGACCTTGGCCAAAGCCATTGCTGATGCTGAGCAGCCACCTCATGCTTGGGTCGTCGTCACCGGCGTAGGTATTGGTTGGGCCCGCCTGAGGCCTGCCTTGTGCTGACCTGAAGAGGCAAACCGTCAGACAGAAACACACTTCTGAGGGGCAGGGGTCTTGCCTTGAAATGCTGCCTTCATTGCCAGCACATGTCATTGTGTTTCAGGAACCCTTGGTCAGCTTTTTCCTCCTGCTGGATAGGAATTTGTGTCCCTATGCTTCCTTTTGCTGTTACCTAAGCAGGGCCTCAGCTGAATCCCCCTGTATATCTCTGCATTTCTGCTTGCTACAGTCCTTAAAGCTGGCACACTGATGCCCATTTTTAGATGCACCTTTTCTATTCAGGTAGATCAGTGTGTTGCTTGCTGCTGTATTTGGTTCTTAGGGCTACCAGCACAACCTGAGTATTGGTGCATCCCTCTGAACTTGCAGAGCACATTGGTACTTCAAAAACTGTCTCTGCAATCAGAAGGACCCTGTGCTGTTCACATGGGATGTCTGTGATGGAGTGATCAAGTTCTGGGCTCTTGGAGGCAGGGAGGAAGTTGGGGAAGGGGGTGGTGGCTGATTCATTCCTGACCCTCTTACTGCTCTTACACCCACAGGCTATTACCGACCTAGCCCCACAGTGGAATACACTGAGGACAGTCCTGGGGGGGATTTTGACTTCTTTTCACGCCTGGTGAGCTCCTGGGAGGCTGCAGCTCTCATCCCTGGGAGCCCAGCTCGTGGTGTTGTGGTGAGATCTGGTGAGATGGGGCATCATGCCTGTTCAGGGTGGCTCTGCTTTGGTGCTGGGGCAGGAGGGGGAAGAGGAGGGAGAAGGTCTTGTGCCTCACCTCGTTGGGGTGCTGTTGCAGTCAAGCCCTTTAAGGACTATATTGTTTGCAGGTTGGGGGGTGAAGGGGGCTTTTGTCCTTTGGGAGGCTCGGGGGGGGGAGTTGTGCTCTCACTCTGTTCTCTTCACAGGGGTAGTGCTGGGCCAAGGTGGTGGTGCAATCTCTCAAATGATCTGGCCTTTCCGCCTTGGACTAGGAGGCCCAGTGGGCTCTGGGCTCCAGCCCTTCCCATGGATCCACATTCGGGACCTGGCAGGGATTGTGTGTCATGCCCTGGAGACTGAGGGTCTCCGAGGTGTCTTCAACGGTGTGTCTCCAACCTCCCCTGCCACCTCCAATGGCACCTTTGCTCGGGAGCTTGCTGCTGCCCTGGGGCGCCCAGCGCTGCTGCCCATGCCTGCTTGGGCTGTGCGGGCTGTCTTTGGTGCAGAGCGGGCTGTGATGCTGCTGGAGGGCCAGAAAGTGGTGCCAAAACACACCCTGGAGAGCGGCTACAGCTTCATCTTCCCGGACCTGCCAGGAGCACTGAAGGACATCGTGTCTTGAGGACTCCTCAGCTGGGCTGGGTTGGGCCCGGTTTCTGTGAGCAGCCCCGCTCATGTGCCTTCCCCTGGGTGAAAGAGGCAAGCCCTGCCCCTGGTTTACTCTTCCCTACTGCCGTACAAAGATGAGCAAGCTGTTCCCTTTCTGTCTCCCTTTGTGCATCCCCAGTTTAAGAGTCACCCCTCTTACTGTCATCTGCAGTCTCCACAGGACTTGCTTTTGGGCAGGGGAATCAGCCCCTCTGAGGGTTGTGACTGCTGAATCTGCCATCTTCCCTTTTCCACTCGTGCTGATCCCTCAGTAGCTGGCACTTAGTCCTTGCAGCACAAATACATGGGATAGAGTGAGGTTACACAGAGAGCATTATGAAAAGCTTTTATAGGAAGACAGGACACACTGTGGTGATAAAATGCTGACTGACTGGTGGTGATAAAGTACTGACTGGCCCTGCTTTACACCCAACGCACCTCTTTTATACCCCTTTTCTGTGTACCTCCTCTTTGTTGCTCCCAGTTTCCCCTCCCTTGCACGTTCCCTCAACAGGTAACGTGGTCCCACTAACTCTATCCAACACCCTGGGCACTCAGGTTTGCATCCTTACCAGTTGCTAACTCCTGGTTGTCTATAGCTTTTGGAGAGCTCATCAGCAGAGCAATCAGGTGATTGGGCCCAGACAGCATGGGTTTATGAAAGGCAGTTTCTGCTCACGAAGCCTCATCTCCTCTGGCAAAGTGACCTGCTCAGTGGAGGAGGGAGAGGCTGTGGATGTTGTCTACTTGGTCTTCAGTCCATGACCCAGCTGTGTAGCCCCTTCTCTCTTAAATGGAGAGAATTGGTGTCTCAGCCACCAGAGCTTAGAATGTCTCCAGCTACTGTCCACCTCTGGTCCCTCCAGTAACCAATGCTTCCAGTTGTCACACAGCTGGTATAGAGGTCTCTTCACTTAACTCAGCTGCCTGGATAGTTGCTTACACATTTACACAGCCTTTCTTGCTCACTGTGCTGGCACCACAGACAGGCCTTCTGTCTCCAGTTACTGCACTCAGCCCCCCCCACACACGCATGCATGCAGAATACAGTGCTCACCCAGGAAGATAGTTAGCAATGAAGTTTAATAAGAAGACAGAAGAGACTGCACTGAGCAAAGGGCAGGGCCAGGCAACTGCACCAACCAGCATGTGGTTCCTGCCCTGAATATCCTAGAATAAATCGTGTACAATCCTGGGATGCTTTTCACCTTCATTCCATAATGTGTCTAGGCCGTAATGCCCATAGGCAGTAACTCTGCCTCAGATGACCCAGAAAGCTGCTGCCACTGATTGACCAGCATGGGTATCACCCCAACAGTGTGGGGCTGATTGCTCTCCTGCTACTGCCCTAGGAAGAGCTGATTTAGGATGTCTTTCTCTGGTTAAGTTAGCATAGTTTACCTGTTGCTCTGCCCCTGTGCTCACCTCTGTGTGTGGAGACCAGCTTTTTATTGTATAACCAACGAGACGCACTTTGCAGAGGAGCAGAGAAAAGCCCAAACCCATCAGGGCTGTTAAGCATTTTGAATAATCACTTCTCTGAAGGATTTACTGATAAGGCCATCCTGTAGCAATGACAACTTACATTTCAGAGGACAGCTGAATACAAGATCCAGGACAGTAGCTCTGTAGATAGGAAAGGTATTATTTCCATTTTCTAATCCTGAGAAGGGGAGATGTGACTACCATGAGTGCTCCATCTGGTTACTGAGCTTGGGAACTGCTCAAGCTTCCCTAGGATGCAGAGGAAGGTGGAAAGAAAAGCTGGGAGTTTTGTGCATATATGTTTTGACAGGGGCACCTACACCATGACATGAGGGACAGTTTGGTGACACATCACCACTGGAAAAGGGGCTATTCACCCCCTCTGGGTGGTCAGCCAGACCCAACCCAACTCCCACACCACTTGCCTAGACTGTAAGGTGTTGGTTTCTCTAGGAGGAGGCTGTGGGAAACTATTGAACCGAGGTAGACAATGTCCATTCCCACCCTACATCAACTGAGCAATTACTCTGTTGTAGAAGGTGATCAGGTTTGTCAAGCACGATTTGCTCCTGGTGAATCTGTGCTGGGGTTTCCCAGTCATGTGTTTGGTTTCACCTGTGATAGCCTCCAAGAGGATTTGCTCCACCATCATCCAGGAGGATTCGCTCCATCGTCATCTGATGTATGACTGATGGGCCTATAATTTCCTGGATCCTCCTTGAGCCCATCTTGGGGTGATGGGGGTGATATTAGCCGCCTTCTAGTGTTTTGTAATGTCCCTTGACCTCCAAGACTCCTCCAAGATGATGGAGTGTGCCCTCTGTTGTTGCTGGTAGTGTCTGATGGGAGTGCCCTACAGCAGTTATGAAAAAGGTTTATTCTAAATGCATTCATTGTTTTGGATGTCTCTTCTTGGAGCACAGTCTGAAACATCTTTAAAAAAGACATGAATTTAAAAGCTTCAAGCATTTGAAATGTAATGTCAAAGTGCTTCAGTGTTATTCTACTAGAGTAATTAAGTATTGTATTAAGTAATATATATAGTCTATATAGAGTATTGTATTAATTAAGTTTTTTTTGTAAAGAGAGATTTCTTCCAGTCTTGTCTTTACAAGGAATAAAACAAGCAAAAATCAATTCTCTGGCTCTTCTCACAGATTTCAAAGTAGATCAGCTCCCAGAAGCAAAGTCATTAGAAGCTTAAGTGAAGTTTCCTTAACTCTGGTTCTCCTGTGTTTTAATTATGGAGTTCCAGTAATCCACAGGCAAGCTAAGTTCCCTGGAGGGAGTGAAACAAACACTACATCGAAGATGTAAAAAACCACTTAGGCATTAAGTAGTTGTTGTGAAGTTTCTGAAGTGAGGCAGTGAATTTACCCTGCGATGGCTCTCGCTGCCTGTTCCTTGAGCAAGCAAACTAAAGGAAAATGAACATTATACTGAAAGATCTCCTGCCCCATCCTTTACTGCCTTTACTGTCAGTTCACCAAATTAGATGAAGTCTGTGCTGTTTCCTAACAGAGACAGCCTGCAAAGGCTAGCATAACCATATCAATAGGGAGGAGTTCTTTTGCTTGATCTCAATATGGAAACTGGTTTTAATGTTGCAGGATTAGGCCCAGGTTGGTTGTATTGGGATACAATTATGACTGAATGACATAGATAAGGAATTCCTGGTTTCAAAAGAGACAAGTCACTCAGCATTACAGATGGTAACAGGAATGATAGTGGTGAAAAGCCAGCAGGATCCCTCTACTCCTGCAAACAACCTGATTTCTTGTTAAAGTGATGTCACTTGCTCTGCACTCTACAGGCTGTATGGATGGGAACTGCACTTAATGTAAAGGGATCCAAGTTTCCTCCAACAGTTCTCCAGAAAGAATTTCTCTTCTGCAGTTGTCTTTGCTGGAAGTTCAGATATTTCAATAATGATAAGTTACACCAGTTACAAAGCAAAAGGATGACCATTTAGCAGGGAGTTAAGCTATTCCCGTTCCTTCTGAGAACAGAACCCTTGAAATAAAGTCTCCTGATGGCCTTTTTCATTTCAGCATTTCTCAGGGTGTAGACCATGGGATTCAGCACTGGAACAACCACAGTGAAGAAGATAGAGACCACTTTGTCCAGTGCAAATGTCTTGAAGGGCCGAGCATAGATGAATATTCCTGGAATGAATGTTATACTTACTGCCATTATCTGTGCTATGCAGGTAGAAAAAGCTTTGTGCTTTCCTTTGGTGAACTGCCTCCTTATCTTGACTAAGATGACAGTGTATGAAATAAGCAGCAAGACAAAAATTAGTATGAGGAGCAGTCCACCATTTGAGACCATCAGCAGCTCTATCAGGTAGGTGTCAATGCAGGCCACTTTCAGTACGTGTGGGACATCACAGTGGAAATTGTCCAGGGTGTTTGGACCACAATAAGGTAAAGGGAGAAGCAGAGTAATCTGTGTTGCAGAGTGAATGAATCCTCCTGCCCATGACCCTACAACTAGACCTAAACACACTGCACGGTTCATTACAGTCAGGTACTGCAAGGGCTTAACAATAGCCACATAGCGATCAGCTGCCATCACTGCAAGAAGAAAGATATGAGCACCACCGATGAAGTGGAACAAAAACATGTGAAGCATGCATTCCTTGACTGGAACAGATCTGGGCTGGGAGAGGAGACTTGACAACAGAATGGGAGTAGTGACTGATGATTCAGCAATATCTGTGAACGCTAAGTTGGCCAGGAAGAAGTACATCGGTGTGTGTAGGTGGTAGTCAGTGATAACAGTGGTGAGGATGGTGATGTTTTCCAAGCAGGTCATCAGATAGACAAGGCAGAAGACTGTGAAGAGGGATTGCTGAATCTTAAGACTGTTGTTGAAACCCAGGAGAACAAATTCCATTACAGGACTGGTTATGTTCTGCATCTCCAGTTGTTACCCTCTGAGCATGCCTGTGAGAGGAATTTAGAAGGGAGAGTGAAGTTAGCTTTCAACACCAAGAGGGGTCGTCTTTGCACGCCTCTGGCTCAGAAATTCCCATCCTAGAATCCTCCTTATATCCCCACACTAAACAGTGCAAATCCTGTTCAGCAGAGGTAGTGCCAGTGTTGGGGACTGCTTTCTTTCATCTTCAGCTTGGCTTCCCTGCATCTGTACTCTTGAAATCCAGTGTAACTTTATAGTTAGTTGCTATCCTCATAAACAGACTTTTGTTTCCCCAGTAATGCAGGCTTTGGCCCCTCCTCAATGCAACAGTGCTTATCCCTAACATTACCTTATTCCATTCAGGCATCAAGAGCCCCTTATTCCACATCAGACTGCTTTGCCTGCAGTCTCAGAATTGCCTGGTTCCTCTTCTCCATGGAGGACTCCAAAGATAAAATAATAAAGGAATAAAAAGCCCAACCAAACCAAAAACCCGAACAAAACCCATTTATGCATCTTCTCTAAGCATCAAAGCAGATGTGAGGAGCAAAGTTACTGTGAAACCTGTACGAACTTTCCTGGGTCTGAACAAAAATGGTTTTGCTAATGCCACTAATAGATTTCTGCTCTGGCAAGCAGTGTTTACTGGGCTACTCCTCCGTAGCCAAAGGGAAACAGGATATACTGCACATTCTTTGTTTTGCAGGCATGTCTTACCAGTTGGCAGATTCTTTTATGCTATGGACAATAAGCTTTGCTTGCTGCTGCTTGCTTCTGTAGGGGATGAAGTATACAGAGCCAGTTGGTTTGACACACTTTGCTGAATGGCTGGCACGAACAAAGCCTGAATTTGGGTCATTGCCTCTTAGGGTATGTGTCCCCTTGCATAGACAGTCAGTGCTCACTTCAGAGAGGAACCACAGGACAAACCGATCAGGGATTGCCAGACAATTTGGGCTTGTGCTGTGGCTCTGTCAGTAAAGAATTTAGAGTAGTCTATTCCTCCCTTACCCTGTTAGGATTTTCATTTGAAACAATACACAGAGCATTGCTGTGACTAGCAATATCCTGGAAGCAAAGATGTCAGGAGCAGGAAGAGATGCCTGCTCTGCAATGGAAGGCAAGCCAGGGACTGAGACTGACAGCAAGGCAGCCAGGAGCAGCTCAGCTCACCAGCAAAGCTGGTCCACAATACACACAAAGAAGAGCAAAGCAGAATCGTTGATGTTAACCAGTTAACTCAGCGATTGCCTGAAGGAAAAGGATGCCAGGGACCAAGACAATGACACCACTGAGCTCAATGTGAGAAGCAGAGCAAGCGAAGGATAAGCTGCATGAGACACTCAGGCACATTCAAACACAGTTCAGTGATACTTGCCAAAATCACCATTCCAGTCGAGCTCAGGGGAAGGTGGTTCTGTCCAGCCAGGCTCAGGGCTGGGTTCTTGGGTGGCAGGTTGGCACTGACAGCTTCTCCTGCCCCACATCTGCACACTGTAGCTGTGTTACCTTCTCAATTTACTACAGCAGGTACCAGTGTGGATGCCAGTCAGAAAGTCCGCAGTGCCATCATTCCAGCAGTTGCAGATGATCTATTGTCACTTGCTGATCCAAGAGCATCCACCTTTTATTCACACTGGGCTGTCACAGCATACCTGCAGCATAGCAAGGGCAAGAAACAAGAAGAGGACCTAAGCTTAAAAATTTAACTCCTCAAGCATCTGGCAAACAGCATCCCCACATGAGGCTTCCCGCAGCTTTCTCAAAGCTTAGCTGCTTCACAAGTTAACAGAAGCTTAAACAACCATAATAAATCAGTGCTGATCTTGAACACAGGCAGCTAAACCCTTGGGGAGAGGAGAAAAAGGACAGCACAGAAGGATTATGAAGAAAGATCTTACAGATAGATAAGGGCACTTAAAGCCTGTTGCTGCATCTATTGTCCACCAAGTCTGAGAAAGTCATCATGTGTAAATGGGTAGCATTGGCTGAGGAGACACTAACCTCTCAAAAGGCCAAGCTGGCCAGCAGAAAGTACACGGGGTTATAAAGCCATGGGTCGTTGATAACCATGAAAATGATGTAAAGTTCCTCAGACAAGTTATGACATAAACTATGGAGAGAAGCACAGAGAGAAAATGCCAAACAAAGAGTTGTTTGTCCTCTGGATATTATATTTTCTGGTGACTGCATTGTGCCAGCTGCTAATCTCAGACCCTTTTTCTGAAATCCCTGTGAGGTTTACTAACAGGATCACGAAAAAAGAAACACAGAAGAGTATTGTTGAGGAGAGAAGGGATTATGTCATAAGGGAATGAATTAAAAAGTTCCTGGTTTTTTTTATTCCATAGATGGGAATCCCACAAGCCCATGAGGCTCAGTAAATGTCCTTCTGTCCTCCATGACCCTGAATTCTCTATGTGACTCCCTGCAGTACTATGAGTTCCATGACAGGACCATATAAGTAGTCAACAGGTAAAACCTGGTGGCCATCTCCTCTCTCTGCCTCTCCCTCTCTCTCTTCTCATAGAGGAGGTGCTTCAGCCCCCTGATCATTTCTGTGGCCCTCCTTGGACCCCCTCAAGCAGATCCATGTGTTCTTTATCCTAGTGGCCCCACACTTGAATGTAGTACTCCAGCTGGGGTCCCAAAGGAGCAGAGTAGAAGGACAGAATCACTTCCTTTGACCTTCTAGTCCTGACCCTTTTGATACTGCCCAGCACATGATTGGTTTCTGGGTTGCAGGCACACACTGCCAGCTCATGTTGAGCTTTTCATCAACCATCACCTCCAAGTCCTCCTCAGGGCTGCTCCCCATCCATTCATCACCAGGCCTTTGTCCATGGTTGGGATTGCCCCAAGCCAGGCACAACACCCTGCTCTTGACCTTGCTGACCTTCATGAAGTTCACCCTGGCCCACCTCTCCAGCCTGTCAGGGTCCCTCTGGATGGCATCCCTTCCCTCTAGAGTGTCAGCCACCACTCAGCCTGTCATCCGCAGACCTGGTGAGAGTGCACTCAGTCCTGCTCTCCATGTCCCCAGCAAAGATGTGAAATAATATTGGCCACAGCCTGGACCCCTCATCACTGGTCTCCACTTGGACATTGAGCCATTAACCACCCAGCCAATGCCTTATCCACCCAGTGGTCCACAGCTCCCCATTTTAGAGACAAGTATGTTGTGTGGGTCAGTACCAGATGCTTTGCAGAAGTCCAGGTAGATGATGTCCCTTTCCGTTATCCATCAATGTTGTAACCCCATTGTAGAAGGCCACCAAGGTTGTCAGGCATGATTTGCCCTTAGTGAAGTCATGTCACCAGTCACCTCCTTATTTTCCATGTGCCTTTGCATATTTTCGAGGGGGACCTGCTCCATGATGTTGCTGGACACTAAAGTGAGACTGACTGGTCTGTCGTTCCCCACTATTGTTCTTGTAATATGAGTTGCAAGTTTGGATCTAGGCAATAACAATCACAGAAATAAAATCATGATTTAGAGAAAAAAGAACCATCACTGATTCTGTGACTAAATTATCATCTTTATTTTAATTCAGTTTAGATGGTGAACCTTCCTCCTCCTGCTCCTTCTCCTCCTTCTCGAGGCAGGAAGGAAGCAAGGAAGGAGACTCGGTGAAATTCCTCACACAGGTTTCTGAAATTGAGTGGAACAGTCATAATTCAAGGGCTTATCTATGCATTTTTATACCTCATTCTCAGAGAATCAGGTCACGGTGGTTTGTGTGGTGTCCAGATATTACATCTGGACATGTAGGAAGATTCAAGTCAAGAAAGTTTATGATATAGCCAGAGATGAAATCAATCCATGCCTCCCAGGTCCACACTTTGTCCACATAATATTCTTTAACACATGCTCCAAACTCATGTCTCCAAGAAAAGCTCAGTATTTAAAGTAACACAAATCCTTGAAGCACAGTATGAACTTGGAGTGACAGTCTCCGTTCAAGCGCAGGACCTGAACTGCAGTGTTCTTTTCAAAGCCTTTTTCACCTCTTGGTTCCTTAGAGAATAAATGACAGGATTCAGCAAAGGTGTAACAATAGCGTTAAGTACATGAACAGTTTTCATTAAATCCAGTGATGAGTCCCTTATGGAAGGTCTGACATGGAGAAAAATGGTGGAACCATACCAAATAATCAGTACGGTGAGATGGGAAGAGCAAGTGGAGAAGGCCCTTTGCTGGCCTACAGTTGATGGGATTCTCAGTATGGTAGAGATGATGTAAATATAGGAGACCAGGGTTATTGTGCATGAGCCAAGGATGACTATGAATGCGATTATGAAGACCACTAACTCAAGCAAGGTGGTATCTGTGCAGGAGAGGACGATCCATGCAACTATGTCACAAAAAAAGTGATTAATAACATTAGGGCCACAGAAAAACAATGTGCTAATCATATATGCAGGTATGGCTAAGGAGAAGAAACCACAAAACCATGATCCAAAGGCAAGTTGAGTTAAAAGGGTGTGATTCATGATAGAGTTATAATGTAAGGGGAAACAGATTGCCAAACAACGGTCATATGCCATGGCAGCCAGGAGAAAGAACTCCGTACAGCCCAAAGAGAAAACAAAATACATCTGTAGAAGGCAATTGGTAAAGGAAATGGTTGGGTCTCCACCCAGGAGGACTGCCAGAGCTTTGGGGACACAAGCTGTGGTGTACCAGATCTCGAGGAAGGAGAGGTTGCAGAGGAAATAGTACATGGGGGTATGCAGTTGTGGCTGGCTTCTCACTAAGACCATGATGGAAAAGTTTCCCAGGAGTGCCAAGATGTACATGATGAAAAACAGCACGAACAAAGACATTTTCAGATGCTGATGGCCAGGAAAACCCAGGAGGACGAATACATTTGGGGCACTGTGGTTTCCTCTTGGAACATCAGACAGAAGACTCATCTAAGTAACAAAAGACAATGAAAACTCTGAGCTTTGTTCAGTGCATTGCTACTTGTTTTCTGCATTACATATCATAGCCCAGATTGCCCAATACTATGCCAAAAAAGTGTTCTCCTGTCACCAATAGACCGCCAGGAGCACGGCCACCAATACTCACAGCAGTAAAAAGGAAAAGTCCGAAAGGAGTGAAGGGTTCATGATGCCCCTTCATTCTTTGAGACCATTAACTTGACGTATAATTATTAAAAGCCTGATTAGTGATGTCTTCAATGTTTTAACTGAGATTCAACCACATCCAACTGAGACTTCTGAAAATAAGGTGCCTTATTTTGTATTCACTTGTCTGTACACAGATAACTTCTCTCCCCACTGACACAGTTTTAAGTCAATATGACACAGAAAACAAGCAAGATCTGTATGTTTTTAACAGGAAGAGTCCAGGCTGGACAGGTGAATCCTATGCTGTGACTTTGGACAGTCAAGGCAAGGAATTATGACAGTAAGATTCACATATAGAAATGGAGTCAAATCACTAAGTAGAGAATCATAGGATAATGAACAGAAAAGGGAAGAAGAGAGGTGCTGGAGCACGTAGAGCAATGGATGAATAGTTACACAGACAGAATAAGCACACAAGTTCAGAAATAAATGGACAACAGGTAGCAAAGAATACAGATGGGTTTAATGCACACACACAAATAAAGCCCCTTACATCAATATAAAAGGATAGCTAGAAAGGCAAAGAGGTAGTATAGACACATAAAATCAGAATAATTCAGATTGGAAGACATCTCAGGAAGACCTCCTTCTTGAAGAAGGGTCATCTACAATTTCAGGGCCTTACACGGACAGTGATGGATAAAGGAGGAGAAAAATGAATGTATATACAGTGACAGGGAGACAAAGCACATGCAAGCAGGGTTAGAGAGAATTTAGCTTTCACTTTCCTAGCATTCAAAAGCTCTCCATCATGGTTAGAGACAACAGGAAGTGCAAAGGCAGGATTCTTCTTCTGAAATCACCCATTTCTCGGTGAAAAGCAGAGCATTTCTAGAGCCGGCACTTTTCCATCACTTACCTTGGGAGAAAAGGAATGAGTGCAGCACAGCTCCAAGGTACAAATATTTCCTGAACGGGCCCTTCCCCAAGGAATGAAAGTCCCCAGGGCTCCACAGTCACTCCTTGGGAAAACATGCAATTACCCCTCACCTAGGGAAGGAGCTGTTTGCTCTCATCTATTTCCTCCACTTGAGAGGAACTGTTTCCATTCAACTTTGAATCAGGTAAATGTAGTTCAGAGACCTATTGAAGGTTCAGATGAGGCCTTCACCAACTTGTGTCAGGAGACACAAGTTTCTAATATTCATGTTTCCTTATAAATGTTCAAAGTATATTTTTAGCACAGAGAAGTTTAACATAATTTCTACCATACGTTCTGATTTGCTGTAAATGCAAAGGATTCAAAGGACATAAAATAAGACGTGAACAGTCTTTGTTTAGAGGGATTTATGTTTCAAAACTGGTACATATTATCTCTTTTGGGCACAGGTTTATTAGTTTCATTCATTAATTCCTGGCTGGTAGGGGAAACACGGTGCAAAGAGGGAACCTGACAGTGCCAGTTCCTCTAAACAGATCAGTTCAATTTGTTTGTAAAACCTTGCTTTCACTTTACAAATCAAATGGCCTACACAGGAAAACCCTCATTATTGACAAAAAAAGTGGAAATTGAAGAGTCACAGATCATCTACCCATAAAATGTATACCAATACAATAATTGCATGCCCAGGTACCAACTGGCCATAAATCATTTAATGTATGCTACCTAGAAGGCACATATATCGTGTGAGGTATTCGCTACATTTCCAAACAATGAAGTAGTTGCCAGGCTTGTTCTGGTGAATTATTCATCTACCAATGTGGATTTCTAAAGAGTTCAAATGAAACGTGTTCTCAAAGGTGGAAAAGGAAGAAGGACTCGGAGACCCAGGCTTGGATGCAGCACAACTTTAATGAGTGTAAAGAAGAAAAGGAGGTGGCTCCCAGGGAGCACCGGGGGCAGGCACCAAGATGCGGTGCAGCTCCTGCAGGGTGTCCGCCTGCCTGTCCCTCACAGGGAGGGAGGGAGGCCAAGAGGTCCCCACTGGGCTGGTGCAGGAGGTGGAGACAGGAAAGGAATGGAGAGGAGAGTGGGAGAAGGAAACAGCGCCGCGAAGCTCTATCTCCTGTCCAGATCCATGGTGGGAGGTGGTGGAGGTCCTTGCCCGAGGATGCTGGCAGCAGCTTTAGCAGGGTCTGCACCTGGTGCCGCAGTAGCGGTTGGTGATGCAGGAGAGGTCGAAGCCCCCGGAGTTGATGGGCACTCCCTCACAGCTGAGGATGCTGCCAACGGCAGCGGAGGTGGAGGAGCCCACAACGGTGTTCTGAGGGAAGGAGCTGAGGATGGGGCCGGGCAGGGTCACCACCACGGCGGAGGGCTGGATGGCGACGGTGGAGCTCTGGCACTGCCTGACACAGCACTCATTGCAGCTGTTGGCCAGCGGGGTCGGGCCGCAGGGCTGGCAGGGCACGCACGGGTTGCAGCAGGACATGTCTGGATGCTGGAGCTTCACCTGGACACAGGGCAGGGGCAAGCAGAGGATGGGACACGGGAGCAGCAGCTCTGCACCCAAGCCTGGGCAAGCCAAGGCACCTCCCGGCCCAGCACACGCTGAGCACCTCCAAGCCCAGCAGCCAGCTCAGCTCAGTCCCAGCCTCTCTCTGCACAAGCCCTTCTCTCCCCTTCCCTCTCCCACCACAAGCAGCTCCCAGCCCTGCGCTACCACAGCCCCGCTCAGCTCAGACACACGGGCAGGAACGACCTGCTCTGGAAGCAGCAGCACAAGAGGCTTCGCACTCACCTGATTCCCAGCAGAAGGAGGCGAGAGAAGTGGATGAGGAGCAGAGACCTGGGCTGCCTTTTATAGTGGCCCTGCAGTGCCTCAGGCCCACAGGCACCTTTGTGGCAGCAGGAATTTCCTGGCAAGCCCATGGCAAATGCAAACCCTCCCAGGTAATGGCAGGGGCCGTGTCCCAGTTTCCGGCACTGCTGCCTTTTAATTTCCTGGCTCATGTGCTTTGCCATAGGAAGGCTTCTGTCAGTGCTGGGATGAGGAGCCCAAGGGTTTCTGGGGCAGAACCACGTGAGTGCAGCAGAAGCCTCCCATCAAGGGCTGGTGCATCCCGTGCAGGCAGGGGATGTGCTCCTGGCTCATTCCTGTGGGCTTGCTTGTGGCCACAGTGTGGGAAATGGGCACTGCCCTTGTGCTTCTCTTCCGCATGCCCAAGGATTTCCATGGAAGAGGACATGGCACAGCCTTTCCTCTTGCTCCCCTCAGCTGTCTCTGAGGTAAGGCCATTGTTGTGTGCGTTTAACCTAAGATACAACTGGTTTTCTTGATATTAGGAGAAGAACCAGGCAGCTTTCAGGGCTATTCAAAGGATATTCAAAATCCTTACAATCCTCAGGTAGTACTTTGACTATCCTAGAGGAGAAGGAGGATCCTGGAAGGAAGGAAGAAGGAAGGAAGGACGGAAGGCATTTGTGTCACCGGTTGGCTCTTCCTGCAGGGAAAAGGCCAAAGATATAATTGTGAATAGATCCCAGCAGATGGATCCCGAGGGACAAAGGTGACTGGCAGCACACGCTGATGAGTTCCATGACCAGTGGTTAGATCATGTCATAACCGGGCACTACCAAGTACAACAAAATGATAACACGTTCTGGTCAGATCCGTCGTTATCTCCACCCTTCTTACCCCATATTGCCCACCAAGAGGGACTGTTGTTGTTTAAAACCAGTCAGAAACGAAGTACCACACAGACGTTTGCTCAAACGCTCCCTTCAGGCCCTGGGCAGGATGGGGGAGAGAATGGGAAGCAAATAAAACCCACGGGTTGAGATAAGAACCCGCCTGGCCTGGCATGGGATGGTCCATGGGCTGCGGTGTGGATTTCTGCTCCACCACTGTCTTTCCTTTGGCCTGCATGGGTATCTCTCCACCATCACCTGGAGCACCTTCTTCATCTCTTCCTACCCTGGCCTTGGTGTCCATGGGATTGGTTCTCAGGTGGGTTTTCCCTCACTTCCTGGGCAGAAGTCTGTCCTTTCTTAAACACCTTTTCACAGGGGCACCACCAGACTTATGGGCTCAGCATTAGGCAGCACCGAGTCCATTTTGGAGCTGCCTGGATCTGACTCTGTCGAACATTTGTTGAGCCCCTGGATTCTTCTCACAGAAACCACCCCGGCACCCTTCATCCTCCTGCTACCAAAGCCTTGCCACATAAGCCCAGGGGAGTGGGTCCAACCGAGTATGAGGCACAATTATAGAAATAGAAGTTTCAGCAGAAAATGTCCATGGTAGACCCTTCAGGAAGTGGAAGTGATGGAGGTAATTATGGTGCTTTCTTTAATGTTATCATCATCAGATCTTAACTGCTGTATTCCACATTCATTCTGGGCCCTGCTGACTCTCCTTCACACTGTTTTCCCAAAGGATTCTGCCCATCAGGTCACCAGGAGGACAAAAATCTCCTCTTACTGAGTGCATGGTTGCAATTTTGCCTTCTGCTTTCTCAGCCACTGCACACTCTGGACAGGAGAACTATCCAAGCCTTTCTATAGAACCCAAATATCTCCTAGGTCTTGAAACTGTCCTGCACGACACCCTTGTCTCTAAAATGGAGAGACATAGAAGTGATGGATGGACCACTTGGTACGTAAGCAATTGGCGAGATGCTTGCACTTGAAGAGTCTCTTATGTAGACAGGATGAGAGAGCTGGACTTGTTCAGCCTGGAGAAGAGAAGGCTCTGGAAGACGTTAGAGTATCTTGCAGTGTCTAAGGGGGCTAAAGGAAAGCTGGAGAGGGACTTTTGATGAAGGGTATGTAGTAATAGGACAACAGTGATAGATTTAAACTGAAGGAACGTAGGTTTAGATGAAATATTATGCA